GTCCCTTCCCTCCCTTCCCTTCCCTTCCCTTCCCTTCCCTTCCCTTCCCTTCCCTTCCCTTCCCTTCCCAGAGAAAAAAAAACTTGAAAGGCAAGTTTTACAATGACATGTCACCCAGAAAGAACTGAGACATCAGAATTCATTTCTGAAACAACCTCAAAGACACCAGTATCAAAGACTACGGCATTGAGTGGGTATATCACATCCCCTGTCATGCACAAGCCTCTGGAAAAAATGGAAAAATACAATGGACTGTTAAAGACTACACTAAGAGCAATGGGTGCTGGGACATTCAGACACTGGAATATGCATTTGGAAAAAGCCACCTGCTCAGTCAACGCTAGGAAATCTGCCAGTTGATCTGACCCTGCCCAGTCAAAACTTTTATTTAACGTAGAATGGGATAAAGTCCCTGTAATGCACATAAAAACAAAACAAGCAAACAAACAACAACAACAAACTACATGCTGGCAAAGACAGTCTTGGTTATTCCTGCCTCAGGCAAGAGCAAACCAAAGAAGAATGAATTTTGATGGAACTAAAGTGCAGCAATGATACAACTGGAGAAGTATCGTAGTATTGCACCAGAGCTGGTCTCTACATGCAAAAATTTAACACCACACACCACCTCTTCTACCCTGAAAGACCATTATGTCTGATGGAGCCCAAAGTCATGAAAGCTACAGCCCTTGCATAGAGGGCTGAACCACAGAGGGATAGGCCGTAGACCAACGGATATCTGTGTGTATATATCAAAAGGCTGGAAAGGCGGGTGATGATTAATGAGAATGTTTTGGAAACTGTGACACCTGACCATGACATAAATGGTATAGAATAAGAGGTGGATATTGCCCTGGTTTTGGCTAGGACAGAGTTAATTTTCTTCATAGTGGCTGCTATGGTGCCATGTTTTGGATGTAGGAGGAAAATAATGCTGGTAGACACTGGTGTTTCAGTTGTGGCTAAGCAGTTCTTACCCTAAGCCAAGGGCTTTTCAGCTTCTCATACTGCCCTGGTAGTGAGGAAGCTTAGAATCCACAAGAAATTGTGAGGGGACGCAGCCAGGACAGCTGACCCAAACTGAGCAGAGGAGTGTTCCATACCATATGACACCACACTGAGCAATAAAACTGCAGGGAGTTGACCAAGGGGGCTACAATTATCTGGGGACAGGTTTGGCATGAGTTGTGTGTTAGCGAGAAACTGTGTTGTGTATCACTTGTTTTTGTATTCTTTCCCCCTCTCCCCCATTTTCTTTCCTATTAAACTGTCTTTATCTCAACCCATGAGTTTTATTCTGTGTGGTACTTAGCTGCTGGCTGGGTTAAACCACAGCACACTGGCTGTCCAGGTCTCCAAGTACCCAGCGAAAAATCCTAAAATCTGAATAAGTCTGTGATGAACCTTTGCCTCTTCTGTGATGGATCACAGTTGCATAAACTAAATTAAACTAAACTAAATTGCGGTAAATACCTGTATATTAAATGAGTAAGACTTTCCCATTCTTATGCAATAGCTTTGTTCTCTGTTCATCACTCCTTAATTTCCTGGACAACTATATTATTCTGATAACGATAAATTACCAATATTTCACGCAATGCATTGATCTGAACAAAGAATATTTCTTAAAAGAAAGTTTGGAGATTTTGAAAATTTTGAAATAGAAAATGATTTCAAAAGCAATCAAAAATATTTTCATGCTTATTGTCAAGTCTTATGTTCTGCATTTTTTCACCTGATCACAAATAGTCCACATGAAAAGAAAATCAAAATGAAAACAAAGAAACAAACAAAAAATAAATCTGGAACAACCGTATATAAGTTCCCTAGAATTTTTTAAAAAATAGAAACTTAAAAAATAACTGGACCCTTAGTAAAATGAACTACTGTAATGGACAAGGGATGTTTTCATTGGTTTAATTGGTGTTGTTGATTTTCTGTTTCATACAGGTTCATTGCTTTATTAGTCTACAACCGCTTTGATTTCCTAGCAGCTGTTACCTTCAGAGACAGCATCTTAGTCTTGCATCAATTGTTATTTAAATTTCTTTCTATGATTCTATGATTCTTCTTCTAAAGCAAAATCAGTTATTAACACATTATCTAACTTCGCTTTTACATTTCTCTGTAAAAGAAAACAACCATCTAAGAAAGGAATGACAGTTGTGAATTTCTCATTCTGAGAAAGACATTGTTGAGAAATTTCTTGATGGCATTCTTCATCTCTGTGTTCCTTAATGTGTAGATTATGGGATTCAGCATTGGGGTGATGATAGTATAAAGAGACGACATGGCTTTGTCCGCCACAAACTTTTTGAATGGCCATGCATAGATGAAGATGCAGGGTACAAAATGGATGCTCACCACTGCAACTTGGGCTCCACAAGTGGAAAAGGCTTTGTGCTTCCCTTGTGTGATATGTGCCCTGATTTTGACCAAGATGACAACATGTGACACAATCAGGACAATAAATATGAGGATCATAAGCAGTCCGCTGTTGGAAACCATGAGCAACTCAACCGCATAGATATCTGTACAGGCTAGTTTGATTACCTGTGGGAAATCACAGTAGAAATTGTCTAGTAAATTTGGTCCACAGAATGGCAACTGAATGATCAGTGCTACCTGCACAATAGAATGAACAAATCCCCCTATCCATGCTCCTGCAACCAGGCCAAGGCAAACATTGTGATTCATGATATTTAAGTACTGCAAAGGTTTATGAACAGCCACATACCGATCCAGAGTCATCACTGTGAGGATGACAACCACAGCACCTCCTGTGAAATGGAAGAAGAAAATCTGTGCAATGCATCCTCCAAAACTAATGGACTTATACTCAGACAGGAAGTCCCATAGCATCTTGGGCAGAGTCACTGAGGATTCGCTGAGGTCTATGAGGGCTAAATTTCCTAGAAAAAAGTACATAGGCTTGTGAAGCTCTTGATCTATGATTACTGTGGTGATGATGGTGACATTTCCAAGCCAAGTCATTGTGTAAATTATGAGGAAAGTTGCAAAAAGTACATACTGTAACATGGCACTTTCAGTAAAACCAACAAAGAAAATATTTTTCACAGTGGTGGTGCAATTCTCCAGCTCCATTACTACCCTATAGGATGCAACCAACAGAGACAAGATTAGGTGAAGTAGTTATTATTCATAAATATACTTGCTAAGAGTAGTCTATTAGCTACTCTATTGTTCTGCCTCAAATGTGATAGGCCTTTGTATTTCTTTAGCTTTTCTTGCACTGCAGTTTTAATCTCTAGAAGTCCTCTTCCTACAAAGTCTTCCAGTACATCCTTGAAAATGATCAGCCATAGGATTCATGTCATTTGACTCTAAATGCAGGTTTCAATTCGGAATTTTGGCACCTAAATTTGCATATCTGCATTTTATCCATCTTCATGTAAACTACACTTCTAAGCTTTCGCTATAGTTAAAGTAGGTGGGCATGATTTGACTAAATGTAAGTGCTCAGTGTCATTTTAGATATCCCTAGGTAATCCAGATATAATCACAGAACTGGGAGATGTGACATAGTATCTATGTAAAACCTTGGCATCATGCTGTTCTAGAGACAGCTGCTGTGTATCACCAGGAGATCTCATATAGCATAGATATATGTGTTTAGTCAGCTGAATTCCATCGTTGGGCTTTGGTCAGTAAATTCAAACAAAAACTAGAGTATCAAAATACTCTCCGTAAAAGAAAACTTATTCCTTCAGCTGTCCATGTTCCAAATGTTCAGTCTATGTGTGGGATTCAAGTTGAATTTCCACAGATGTGTCCTCCTTCCTTCTTTCCCTCCTTTCCTCCTTCATTCCTTTTTTCCTTCCTCCCTCCCTTCCTTCCTCCCTCCCTTCCTTCCTCCCTTCTTCCCTTCCTCCCTTTTTCCCTTTCTCCCTTCTTCATCTTCCTCATTTATTCCCTCATTCTAATGACTCTGCATGCAACTGCAGACCTGCTGTATTTATTTCCCATATTGCAATATAGCTACTTTTTTAATCACACCAAGAAGACCTCAGAAAAGTTAGAGAAATACTTTGATCCTTGTTCGCATGTCAATAGGCAGGCAAAATGACATACCTAGCAGATTCTGGAGTTTCTTCTTCTCCAAAAGTGGCCTGAATCCTTGTCTGTGGTATGGATGATGAAGAGCTGTGATGGGAAACTTCTTGGAATAGCTAGCTTTGAAATCAGCAAAGATGACGTGAGGTATGGATTCTTCAGATACACAAGAGCCAGTTGTATTCTAAAGATGTCTGTTATTCCTTGTGCAGTTTGGTGGAGGCTCAAGCTTCCTGCTAGTGGGTAAAAAGATTGTTGCAGATAACACTTCACTTTCATGTGACATACACTAAAATAAAAAAAATAATAATAAATATCTTCAGGGGCTTTAAAAATATTGTAGAATCTGCAAGGTACGTGTTCTCAGTGTTACTCGTACCTTTTGGAAAACCAGAAGTGTTTCTTCAGTCTGCATGCTCAGTATAAAAGAGCTAGTCTATCCAAATTGTCTATCCAAATTTTGATAGTTGCAATTTATAAGATTCATCTTAGCTAGTTGTCTACACTGATTTCACACTAAACACAAAGAAACAATTCTTTTCACAGCACAGCTTTAAAAAGACCTTTTAGGTGTTTACCCCAAAGTAAACGAAATCAAGTTCAGTAGTATTGCTTTCTCCTTAGACTATACAATGTCTTAATGTCTATCTCCGATGAGTTTCTGAATAATTTCAGCTAAGGGCTTGTCAGTGATTGCAGCACTGCAACAGGTAGTTGCTTAGTAAAACTGTCATAATTGAGTATGTGATTGGCTGGTTTAACGCATGAGTG